TGGGCGGCTGAGGCAGGAGGATCGTTGTGACTTTGAGACCAGCCTGGGCTACCAAGTCAGCTCAAGGCCAGCCTGAACTGCATAGGGAGACCCTGTTTCAAAAAGACCAAAAAAAAAAAAAAAAAAAAAAAAAAAAAAAAAAAAGAACCACTGCTGTACATCAAAGCCCTGCCTTACTAAGCATTGTAAAGAACGATGCATTTTACAAGGCATCGTTTAAATCTCACGTTGTTTAGGAAGTACATTATGCATGTCTTGAGGAATATAAAATGAATACTTACGTACTTCACACCTAGTCAGGAGGCGGAACAGTAACACTGAGGCACCCAGTGCCCCTGCGGGCCTGATTCCCTTCTGGAAGTGATCAGGTTCCAGGGTCCTGTCTGGTGTGCCTATGCCTTCATGGCTTTGCCGTATGTAGCTCTGAATAATATCGTTTAGCTACCTAGGAGGGGTGTGCATTTACATACACACACATGCCATGTGATGACTCTATCTTTCATCCTTCACATTATATTTGAGGTTCATTCCTGTCGCTGTTTATGACCATAGTTCACTGGAATTCCTGAACAGTGCTCCATTATATGGAAATACTTTATTTTATCCATTCTCTGGGTAGCCTTTTGGGTTGTTTTCAGCTTTTTTTCCTTCCAAGTATGAATGATGTACCATGAACACTACTGGGACGGATATACAGAAACATCTCTGCAGGGCGGGATTGGGGGCTGCAGGGACTGCGTGCCTCAACGTGTATTGGTAACAGGTCACCTTCCATGATGAGTGTACCGTAATCGCAAGAGAATCCTTATTGTTCCATTCTCAGCAATTTTTATTATCAGGCTTGCAGATTTTTCTAGGTCATTTTAATTTGCATCTCCGTATTTTCTTCTAAAACTTTCAAAGCTCTGCCTTTCTCATTTAAGCTCTTGACTGTCCATCTTAATCTGGTTTTTGTGTATTAAGCGATATGCCTATTTGTTTTTATTTTCTAAAAACATTTTCTTACATTTCTCCTGGTTAAAAAAAAAAATTTCAGAAAGAAAATTTTCCTTGCTCTTCTAACCCTGCTCCCCGCTCTATTCTGAGGAAATCAATGGATTTACCAAAGGCTATGACCGAACACAGAGTTCCAGAGAATCGCTCTCCCTTCTGTTAAGGTTTAGATCTTGGGTGTCTCCCCAAAGCCCCATGTGTCGGAAAGTGGTTGGATCGTGGGAGTGGAATACTCACCAGTGGATCTGTCCGGTGATGCGTTCGTAGCGGACTTGCTGAGGGGCGGAGGGGCCTGGTTGGAAGAACCGCGTCCTGGGGGTGTAGCCTGGGAGTCTACAGCTTCTTGGCGGCCTGAGCCGCCCTCCTACACCCAGGACTTTCTGCGCGCTGCTTCTGTGTTTGAGCCCGCTGAACATAACCTAAAACTTCCCAACCAGGACCCAAAATAAACTGCTCCTTTACGCTGTGTGTGTTGAGTGTTTTGTTCTAGCAACAAGGAAACTAAGAAGGCAGCCTTTCTCAAGAGTACGAAAACGGTGAGTTTTTACTGGATGTAAATTAAAATAATATTGAGTATCATAACGGGCCTCAGAAGTTGGCAGAGACTATTTTACTAAGGCTAGCAGACAAGAGTGCTGTGAAATGAGCTCTCTCTCCCTCTCTCTCTTACTCTCACTCTTTCTCTCTCTCACACACACACATACACAAGTTCAATCCTTCTGCAAAGGTAATTTAAGGCTGATTGCCCAGAAGGCTTTTAGCTTATCCACAACCTTTTCATTGAAATTTAACTGTAGAAAATATAGCATGGAAATAATTTTAAAGTCAAAAAAATCTTAATACTCAAAGATACGCATTACCGTTTCACATACAAGCCATGGCCTGTGGCTGTGTGTCGGTCGGCAGTGAACTGCATACTGTGTGGGGGCCCCAGGGGGCCTCTAATGGAGCTGAAAAATCCCCACCACCGGCGGACACTGGCACTGTTGTGATACTGCAGCATACATGTTTGCAGTGAAGCTTTAGTGTCAACAGATCTACACTGTCAGCCACTTAAAGGGAGATCACATATAATTAGGTATATTAGATGACACATGATAACAATGAATTATTGCTATTACTGCTATTACGGCTGTCACCGCTTTGTATATTTACTGTACTTACTTTTCATGTTACTTTAGATGTACACCTTTTACTTACAAAGAAGAGCATTTCCTATAAATCAGAATGCCCTTTCCCCGGCACCTTGCTGTCCTCCATCATTTTTCATCACGTAACGTGACAGTGGGTGGTGAGTCACTGGGAGCTGATGTGGAGACAGCTGAAGAATTTTCAGAAAGTCTAGGTAAGTGGATCGTGGAGGAAACTTACTTGCCAGAGCTGACCTTCCATGTGGATGAGTGCTTTGTACGAGAAAGGGATGCCCGAACGTGCTTTCGTCCACAAGGAGGCTGAGTCAGATACGGGTTTCAGGGCTTTTAATGACAGGGTGATGGCCTTGCTGGGGCAACCATGCAGGCTGCACTTTGAAGCCCTTGGTAAAGTAATCCAGCATCGTGAAGACCCCAGGACCATCACATCTGTCAATAAGCACACACTGCCGGGTCCTACAGCCGCAGCAGGAAGTCAGGGGCCACCATACTTCTCTTCCAAGATGCCTGCTGAACTGCTTAGCCAGCAAAACACAGACCTGCTGCTTGGAGAATAACATACCTTTCTGAATCTTCTTATGGTTGATGATGATCTAGCACATCCTCATTTTATTGGCGCTCTTCATCCCAGTATCAAAGCAGCGTCTTCTTGACCCATCTGATGGATCACTGTACTACGACAGCTTCTGAGGTCTGTCGCCTGAGGAGAACCCCTGCCCAGGCCAGTGCTGCGACCATGAGGACAATGAGAGGACACTGGTGCAGTCTGGAAGGGTTACAGTGTGTTTGAACACAGCCAGGGCCTTGCTTGGGGCTGAGGTGGTGTCACTGAGGAGCATATGAGTGGCATCTGGAAGAACACACTCCAGAGGTTCACATACGACTTCAAGGGATTTGCCGAGGAGGAGGCTGCAGGAATCAACAGGGCTGTGGCTGTGATAGAAATACCTTAATCTGGCGGGGCTGAGGTCACCACAGAGGAGCTCCTGGAGTGGGTCCTGAAGAGCTGACTAAGGAGTTGTTGTTGGACTGGGCCAGGAATGTATGGCTGAGGAGAGGAGAGAAAACTGAAGAAGAAAAAGAAACCCCCAGAAAGTCACAGTGAAGGGCTTAGCAGAAGCTGTTGCAGATCTCAACAAGTTCCTCAAAAAGTGTGAAAACACAGACTCCAACACCCAAAGGCTTTCATCAGCGGGAGAAATGTTCATGGTGCACGATCTGCTTCCAAGCAAATCTATGATGCAAAGGGAGAAACGCAGAAAACCCCAAGGATGTGTTTCCAAAGACTGACGTGGCTGCTAGAGGAGCCTCAGGCAGAGGAATTCGAGAAGACACTGTTTTCCCAGGAGGTCACCCCTCAGCTGTGTCTGTCTGTCTGTGTGTGTGTGTGTGTGTGTGTGTGTGTGTGTATCTTAGCTGTTTTTGAGGTATTTCCATTTTTCTACTATTCTATGTAATTTAGCAACTTAGCAAGACCCTGTTTCAAAATAAAAAAGGGCTTAAGATATATCAAAAAAAAGGAAAAACAAATGGTGTACAGTTGAAAGAAAGATTGGAAAAAAAATCATAAGATGTTACTAGAGTCTACTGAGTATTTTTCACTTCTTTCACATTTCTCATTTTTTGTAACTAACTTTCAATGACAAGTTCATGCTGCCTGTATAATAGACAAACAGTACAGTATAAACATATCATTTTAGACTTAGAATTCAAATTGGAGACACTCCTTTGTTGAGGGTGGTGTTGACTCCTGGCAGCAGGATGAGGGGTGCCAGCAGGCTGTGTCCAGCTCGCTCCTAGCCACGCTTTCAGGTGAGTGTGCAAGAACAAGGACACAGGAATCCAAGGGGGAACGTTCCCTCGCCTGGGGAGACTGGTCCATCACACAGTCCACGTATTCATGCACAGTCTTCATATTTCAAAAGAATAAAAAAATGCAGACAACAAACTAATAGACTGATTTGTGTATATAAGCTGAAATGCAGTATTGACACCAGGTAAATGCTAGGCTACTCAGAATACTGAGATGATCTGACTGTGATTTGATATTACTGCAAAGAGTATTTAGTGGGTCAGGGGAAGAGGAGGAGAAGAAACTAATACTTGCTGAGTGCCTATACATGTCAAGCACTTTGACTTGGTTTTTCACTAATCCGTATAAGGACCCTAACAGGTAGGTAATGCGAGTTCTGATTTACAGGCGAGGAAACTGAAGCTCCTGGAGGTAAGCACCGTGACTAAGAGCTCCGCACAGCACATGGCATGCAGTAAACACTGAGTACTTGCCATTTGAAGGGATGGCAGGAGATACAGCTGATATGAAGAGCCAGGATTTGAACTTAGCTCCATCTTGTTGCAGAGTTCACACTACTTACATCACAGTTCATTGCCTTCCAGGAGAGACTACAAAGAATTGTCTTCAGCTGCTCAAAGACATCACTGCCAGTGTTAACCTGGGTAACAAGTACAACAACCCATGACTTCCACCTTCATATCTGAGGTCGATTTCAAAATGTGTGCTTGTAAAAGTTAAAAAAGAAAACAAAGGATCTTCAAGGGCAACTATATGGTACAAAAAAATAACAAATATCCATACAACATCATTATATGTGTGTAGAACATTTTATAGTTATACAGCTCATCCTTTTTTTATTGAATTCTGCCAACTTCTTAAAATATTCCCTATGAAAACATCATCCAAAATATATCTCTCATTTTATGAATATTAGGTGTTATGTCTCTTTTTCTTTGCTCCACACTTACAGCAAAATAAATTATTTGAGAATGCTAAAATGAATAAGATGTTGCATTTCCATAGCTCTTTTTCATTCTATAGTAAAATATTTTACAATTATAAAGGTTGAAAAAGTAATTTTATTGTTTTTTTTTGCATATGACTGCTTGTCTGCATTCTGTTATCCCAAGTACAGAGGGTCAAGGATACAAGGGAAGTATAAGTATAAAAAAGTGAAAATGATTAACTCAGATGAGATGCACATTAACATATTACACATTCAGCATATTTAGTATTTACCAGGTAGAGAAAAAGAGCAAGTTCTACTCCTTGTGTTTGGCTACTACATCTTCATGACAACTATTTACCATATTTTAAAGCATTATTGTTGGGTAAGTTTTATTAGGCAAAAGTGTTTATAAATCATGACCTCATCTAAAATGGAACATAAATAAAGACTTATAGATAGACGTGTATTACAAAAGGTGGTGGCTGGAGACGAAGGCTATGCCCAAAGGTCGCTAAGGCCAACAGACCATTAAGAGGGAGAGACCTTTGCTTTATTCAAAATTTAGCATCTGATAATCTCATTTGATAAATCTAACTGGAAGTTTCTTTCTGATTATATTTGACCATCATATTTGGTTGCGTACCATAACAACTTTCATTATATTTGTGTATTAAGAGAAAAACCACTGGATCCTAAAGGTTAATACTTGTTGAACTTAGGCTGAGAACTAATCAGGAGAAAAAACTGGTTGGGTAAGTAATTTCTAGAGATTCAAAACATTATAAAACAAGCTGTTTTAAAAATAGTTTAACTCAAAATGGTTTTTAAAAACTCATTGGAAATTATAAAAGATCTTGCCTGAGTACTAGTAAAATAACCCATGTGACTAGCTTACTAAGGCTGACATTCAGTGGAGAACAATGAATTTGTCTGTTATAATCAGAAAAACTTTAAGTCATACTGAGTGTTTTATTATTTTAAGCATCTCCTGTTAAAGCCTGTGATTTTAATGAATGCTAAGTGTGTGTCCTTGGTGCTTTCCTTTGCATCAGAAGAACCTGACGTAGGTTGCATCCCGGTTAACCTTCAACACTCTGTACACGGCATTCTGAAACACAGTGGTGAAGTACGGCCTTTCGTCCCGGAGCAGGCTGCTGCAGAGGGAGGGGTTGGCTGAGTTGGAAGGATCTTCCAAGTCCCAGATTTCCAGCATACTGCAACCCGGCCTGAAAAGAAAAGATGTAAAACTATCCATGTGAAAAATGCATTCGGCAAACAGAATGCAGCAAGTTATCATGAAGATTATGCATCATGATCAAATGTATTCATTCCAGGGATGTAAGGATGGTTCAACATTCGCAAATCAATAAATATAATACACCATATTAACAGAACCAAAGACAAAAATCACATGATCATCTCAGTAGACACAGAAAAAGCATTTGACGAAGTCCAATAACCATTCATGATAAAAATTCTACAGAAAATTGAAATAGATGGACTTAATCTGATAATAAACCATCTATGATGAACAAATAGCAATTGTCATGCTAAACGGTCAAAAACTGAAAGCTTTCGCTCTAAAAACAAGAACAAGACAAGGCTGTCCACTATCATCACTCTTATTTAATATAGTTCTGGAAACATAAGCCAAAGCAGTTAGACAAGAAAAAGAAATGAATATGGATAGAAAAGGAAGAAGGTAAATTATAGTTATTTGCAGATGACATAATACTATACATAGAAGACCTCAAAAACTGCACCAAAAGACTTCTAGATTTAATAACCAAATTCAGTAGCATAGCTGCATACAAAGTTAGCACTCAAAAATCAATAGCATTCCTGTACACAAACAACAAACTCACTGAGAGAGAAATTAGGGAAAGCACACCCTTCACAATAGCATCCACAAACATGAAATACTTAGGAATCAATCTAACAAATGAAGTAAAAGATACATACATTGAAAATTACAGTACTCTGAAAAAGGAGATTGAAGAGGATAATCAGAAAATGGAAAGACATCCCTTGCTCATGGATAGGAAAACTGACATAGTGAAAATGTCTGTAAAATGTTGTATGTCTGTTAATGTTTCCCCCCTTTTATCTTTAAAATAAAAAAAAAAAAAAAAAAAAAAGAAAATGGCCATATTCCCCAAATTGTTATATAGATTCAGTGCAATCCCCATCAAAATATCTTTAACATATCTCACAGACCTAAAGAAAACATTCCTAAAATTCCTTTGGAAACAGAAGAGACCTAGAATAGCAAAAGCAATTCTGGGCAACAAAGGCAAGTCAGGGGGCATCACAATCCTTGACTTGAAATTATACTACAAAGCTACTATGATACAATCAGTGTGATACTGGCAAAAAAGGAAACATCTGAAGATCAGCAGACCAGATTAGAAGATGCAGACACAACTCCAAACACACTCGTTCACTTTATCTTTGACAGAGAGGCCAAGCATGTTCACTGGAAGAGAGATAGCCTCTTTAATAAATGGTGTGGAAAAACTGGCTTTCCACATGCTCAAGACTGAAACTAGACCCATGTCTATTACTGTGAATTAAATTAAAGTCAAAATGAATCAAAGATCTAAATATTGAAACAGAAACACTAAATGTACTGGAAGAGAAACTAGGTAGAAAATTTTGAAGACATGGGGGTAGGCAGAGAGTTCATGAATAAAATCCAGATCACATATTAAATACTACAAAAAATCAACAACTGGAATCTCCTTTATGAAAAAGCTTTTCACAGCAAAAGAAGCCACCAACAAAGTGAAGACAACACACAGAATGGGGAAATATTTTAGCCAGTTGTCTACAGACAAAGGACTTATATCTAGAACATATAAAGAATTGAAAAAAAAAATCAAATTCACCCCAAATTTAAAGACCCAATCCAAAAATGGGCATGCGAGATGAATACACACTTCTCAGATGAAGAAATACAAATGGAAAACAAATATATGGAAGAACATTCAACATTATTGGTCATTCGAGAAATGCAAATTAAAACAACACTGAGATTCCACCTCACTCCACAAAAAATGACTGTCATCAAGAAATCAACCAATAACAAATGCTGGAAGGGCTGTGGGGAAAAAGGAACCCTTCTCCACTGTTGGTGGGAGTGTAGATTGGTGCAACCACTGTGGAAATCAGAATGATGATTACTCAAAGAACTAGGATTAGAGGTCCCATTTAACCCAGCTATTCCCCTCTAAGTATATTTCTGGGAAGACTTAAAAGCATCACACCACAGTGATCTATGCACACCCACGGTTACAGCAGCACAATTTGTAATAGCTAAATCTTGGAAACCATCCAAATGCCCATCGACCAAGCAATGGATAAAAAAAGATATGGGTTTTTTTTTTTTTTTTTTATTGGGTTTTTGTTGTCCACAAAGAAGGATAAACTTGAGGCTTTTATAGGTAAATGGAGGCAACTCAAGACCATACTCGTAAGTGAAATAAATCAGACTCACATGTGTAACCATCATACTGTCTTTCTGGTATGAGAAAATGAAATTGAGTAAATATGGTCCAAAATGTATAATAGATATTGTGAAATGGGAAGAAATTGTTCAAAAGGAGAGAGAAACTAGGGTGGGGAATAGGGGAAAGGAAGGAAGGGAAAAGGAAAAAAATACAAGTTAGCTATACTACTAGTTCTCTTAATCCATTTAAAGGAAAGGTTTTTGCTAATATCATTTGGAGAATTTTTTTATGTTTGTATCACACTCTGAGTAACTACTTTGAAAATAACAATATACAATGATTAACTATTGTTATTTTCCTTTTATTTTGTTTTGAAATTTTATTTTTCCCATAAAATAAAAAAAAGAAAAATGCCCTCATATTCAGAGCAACTGCATAAATCAGAAAGTAGCTCTGAGATTGCCAGACTAAGTTATTCAACAACTTAAAGATTTTAAATCATCATCTCAAAAAAATATAGGTTCAACATTTAGACATTTGGGTTGCTTCCATCTTTTTTCTATCACAGAAATGAGCCGCTGTGAACATTCGTGTACGGTTGTTTGTATGGATGTGTGCTTCCTTTTGACCTTGTGTAAATGCACGTAGCAGGTGTATGTGTGATTCCTTAGGAAATTGCTAAACTGTCTTACAAAGTGGTTGCACTGTGTTACATTTACATAAGCGTGTGAGAGTTGCAGGTCTCCATGGGTGTGCAAAATTTGCAGTGTCTCTTTTATTTAGCTAGTGTATTAGGTATTTAAGGGTATTTCATTCTCATTTTAATTTAATTGGGTTGTTTCTGAGTTTTGAGAGTTCTTTATACATCTAAAGTTCCTTATCAGCCATAGGCTTTGAGAATATTTTCTCCCAACTATTGTTGATTCTTTATTCCTAATAGTCTTTTAAAAAGACCAGCAGTTTATATTTAATGACTGCCTATCAGTGTGTTCTGTCAGAGATCATGCGTATAGCATTACATCTATGAAATCTTTGCTTAACACAAGGTCACAATGGTTTTTTGTGGAACTTTTATATTTTTACTTGTGTAATTCTATGATTCATAGTGAGTTAAGTATTACACGTGATGTGGAGTGTAAATTGAAGGTTTTTTTCTTTTTTTTTAGCATAAAGATACCCAATTATTTAAGCACTAATTGTTGAAAAGGCTCTTTTCTCCAATGAATTGTTTTTACATCTTCCTCAAAAATCTGTTGTCTATATGCATATTTTTTTCCAGGCTCATTTCATTCATCTATCCTGACTCCAGAAGCACCATTGTCTTGTTTATTGTAGCTATATAATAAGTTTTCATATTAGATAATGTTAGCCACATAAGCTCATTCTTATCTTTCAAAGTTGATTTGGCTCTTCTAAATCTTTTGCATTTTGTAATGAGTTAGAGAATTGGCTTTTCCATTTTCATGCTTGTTTGGATTATTTACTGTAATTGAATTGAATCTGTAGATCAATTTTTGGAAAGCTGACAACTTAATATAATTCACTATTTTATAACATGACTATGGCACATCTCTCCATTTATTTAGATATTTTGTTTCTTTCAGTAATGCTTTGTCATTTTTAATGTGCAGTCATTGCACATCCTTTATACTTCACATTTTCTTATGATTAGAAATGCCATTTAAAATTTTAATTACAAGTTCCTGCTAAGTTGAATTGTTTTTATAATGATTTTGTATCCTGTATTCTTACTAAAATCACCTATTAGCTCTAATAATTTTCTGGTACTTCCACCAGATTACCTACAGATAAGTAAGTTGTACCTGAAGAGGTAGCTTTACTTCTTCCTAAGTGGTATGCCTTTCATTTCTTTTTCTTGCTTAATTCCTTTAGCCACATCAGTCAATACAATGTTTAATGGAAGTAAGAATGGAATTTCTCTTCTTGTTCCTGACCTCAGTGAATTGTCTTTCCCCACTGACTATGATGTAAGTCATAGTTTCTTCATAGATGATCTTTACCAGGCTTAGCAAGTTAACTTCTATTGTTAGTTTCTAAACATTTGGGAGATTTTCACATGTATTTTTGTTGTTTATTTCTACTTTCTTTTCATCATAAACACAGAACATAGTTTGTATGATGTGAATCATTTAAAATGTAATGAGACTTGTTTTATGCCTAGAATATGGTCTTTCTTTGTAAATAGTCTGTTTACACTTGAGAAGAACGCCTACAATACGTTCTTGGGTGTGGTGTTCTATAAATGTCAATGAATTCATATTTGTCAACAGTATCATTCAAGTCTTCTATAGACTTGTTAAGTTTCTACTTATTCTGCATATTCCTGAGGAAGCTGTTAAAATTTCTGACTGTATCATGGGTTTGTCTATTTTTCCTTTATAATTCTATCAGTTTTTGCTTGATGTATTTAAAAACTGTGTTATCTGGCGCATCAGTGTTTAGGGTTGCAACAGTCTCTTCAAAAACAGATCCCTCTTCATTGTAAAGTGACTGTGCTTAACCTGGATAATATTCTTTGCATTCACATATACTTTATGTCATAGTATTTTTTTGTTTTTTTCTGGTACTGGGAATTGAACTCACAACCTTGTGCTTACCAGGCAGGTGCTGTGCCACTGAGCTAAATCCCCAGTCCCTTATCTCATAGTATTATGGCCAGTCCAGCTGTCTTTTGACTAGCAGTAGCAACCTGTGTCCTTTTTTCTGTTTGTTAACTTTTAATCTATTCATTTCTTTATTTTAAGCAAGTCTGTCATTTCCATGTCTTTATTTAAGCAGTCTGTCATTTCCAGATTTTTATTAGTGACATTTGATCTTGTATTAATTTCCTATTGCTGCTGTGACAAATCACCACAAACTGCGTAACTTAAAGCAAAATATAGGTCCAAAATCAAGATGCTGGAAGGGCTCCAGTCATCCACTTGCCTTTTCCACATTCTGCTTTCATAGTTACATCACCTTCACCTCTGACTCTTGTCTTCTCTCATAAGGCCCCTGCACTTACATTGTTCCTACTTGGATAATTGAGGTAGTCTTCACATCTCAAGAGTATTCACTCAGTCGCGGTTCCTGCATGTTCAGACATCAACATCTTGGAGGGGCCGTAATTTAACACAAAAGACTATTTGCATGTAATGCAAATATTGATGTTGTTAGGTATAGGTCTGTCATCTTGCTATCTATTTTCTATCTGTCCCATTTGATCTTTATTCTCCCCTTCCATTTTTTTTCCTGCTTTTCTTTGAATTAAGCAATTTTTATGATTCCACGTTAATTTTTATTGTTGCTTTATTAGCTACAATTCATTGTTTTGTAATTTCACTGATTGCATTAGGGTTTATAGGATATTTAGACAGTGATTTTTCTACTTAGCATAGTTTGAAATGATAATGGGCTTCTCAGGACATAACCTCATCTTAGGCTGAGGAGCATCTGCACTGCTTGGATGCTGTGTTTTGTCTTTTTGCATCCTGTCACATCTATAAAACATCTATCTGTGTGTGTATGTGAGATATTTAACACTTTACTATAAAATGGGTTTATGTTATCAGAATGAACCAACTGTAGGCTAATGTAAGTGCTCTGAACATGGTTAAGGTAGCCTAAGCTAAGCTATGATAGATGGTGGTACAGGTGTATTAAATGCACTTTTAGCTTACATTGTCCACTTATGATTGGTTTATCAGGATGTAACCCACTGTAGGTTGAGAAGCATCTGTACATAGGTAATGAAAGTCTTACAGTCATATACTTCTATTTCCCCCTCACAGACATACACTATTGTTGCAGTACATTTTAGTTAAACATGTTATAAATGCTACAATACACTTAATCAGATGATTATGTTTTCTAAGATTTGTGCAAGGAAAACCCCTTCTAATACTGGCCTATGTGGTACTGTTTGCAGTGCTATTCATGGGTTCATGTTTATCCATGTTTCTGTACTGTGTCACTTTCCTTCTGCCTGAAAGATTCTAGTTTACATCTCTTGTGATATAGGTCTGCTAGTGATAACTTCTTTCAGCACTAGTATGTGTAATTAATATTCATATGTTCACCACTTGCCATGCATATATATATATATAGCCATCTGGTGTCATTTTTCCCTAACTTATAGGAGAGTGATGGCAAACCTTTCGGAGCTTTCAATGATAACAGTCATTTGCAGCACTCATGCCATAGGTTCACCACCATTGCTATAGGACTTCCAGTCCATTCTACCATCTAGGTCTGTTGGGAAGAAGTTAGATTTGATTGATCTGAAAGTCTTTATTGACCTTCACTTAAAACAGATAGTTTTGCTAAGTACAGAATTCTTGATTTTTTTCTTCACTACTCTGAATTATTATTTCATTGTCTGTTGCTTTCTACTACTGATGATGAAGCAGATGTTCATCACACTATCTTTTCCCTCTTGTTATTTTAAAGATTTCTCTCCATCTTTGTCTTCACTGGTCTGACTGCAATGTACCTTGCTTTGGATTCTCTGAGTTTATCCTAGTTGGATTTTTTAAGCTTATGGATCTCTAAGTGAAAGGTTTTCACCATACTTGAGAAGTTTTTGGCCAACATTTCTTCAGGTACTTTTCCTGCCACTTTTTCTTTTTATTTCTTCTAAGACTTCCCATACATTGAACTAAAATAATCTTGAACAGGTCTCTGTTATTTTTTGCGGTATTTTTAGTCTCTGATTGTTTGGATTGACTTTTTCTTGATTTATCTTCAAATTCACTATTTTTCTTGCTTTCATTTAAATCTGTTGTTGAATACATTTAAATAATTTGCCTTTCAATTATTTCAGCTCTAGAATTTCCATGGGAGGAGGATGCTTCTATTTCTCTGTTGGGATTCTTCACTCACTGTTATCATGTTTTCCTTAATTCTTAGAACATATTTTTCTCAATCTTTTACATATATTTATTTACAGTCTTTGGCTACTAAATCCAATACCTGTGACTATTTGAATCAGTTTATATTCACTTTTAATTTTGAGAGTATTGGTATGTCTGGAGGTTTTGAATAAAAACTTTTCAATCTGTTTTTATATGTCTGGTAGTTTAGATTGAAAACTGGACGCTGTAACCAATACACTTAATCTCTTTTATTCGGTGGTCAGTTTGTTTTGTTCTAAGAGACAGCGACCTTGCCTGGAACTCTTGTATGAGCAGCAACTGACACCTCTGTCAGGAGTCTAAAACAAAGGTCTCAAGAGATCCACTGAACACCTTCATTTTTTTAATTTTTAGAAGTGCAAAGTTCAAAAAAATTTTACATTTTAATTAGTGATGTTTTTCTTATGTCATTTTGCATTGTTAACTGTTACAAATATAATACCAAGCTATAGTAGAAGGTTAATGCTTTGTTGTAAATTCAACTACATTTTCAGCATCTTGTGGAAAAAATCATAAAACTTTGAAAAATTATAAAAAAATAAATTTAACAAAAATACTTCAAATAGAAATGCAAGACACTAAACTATATTTTAAAAATCATATTCTACTTAAATGATGGTATGATCTTACTTCTCTAGGTAAATGATTTTAAATAAAATCCAGGGTAAAATTTTAATGAAATTTATTTAAAATAGAAAGTGTTGATGAGTCAGCGAATCAGGACTACTGTTATAAAGTGAAACACTTGTTACTTTAAAATGTGGCACATCAGGGGCTGGGGATTTAGCTCAGCAGCAAAGCGCCTGCCTGGCAAGCGCAAGGTCGTGAGTTCGGTTCCCGGTACCAGAGAAAAACCAATAAAATAAAATAAAATAAAATGTGGCACATCATAACGCCCAGTGTGAATACTCACTTGGTTCTCACAAAACACCACGCTTCTTCTAAAACGTAATAGTTCACATGTAATCCCAGCAGTTTATCTCTCACTTCTTTTGCAGATTTTCGACTATACACAGAATAAACTATTTTTGTTCGGGCCCTTTAAAATGAAACAGTAACAATTATAAGAATTTTAAATAAATGATAATGGACTAAAGAAAACTTGCTAGCAATTTGAAACTACAACCTTTACTGGATGGAGTACTGATATATATGAAAATAACATGGATTACTTCCGAAATAGCCCTTTGCACATTCCTCCTTAGATTTTGAGTGCATTAAACTGAAGAGTAGTTTTTTTTTTTTTTGGTATGGGGAATTGAACTTATGACCTCATGCTTGCCAGGCAGGCGAGGTGCTACTGGGCTATATCCCCACCATCTTAAGAGCAGTTTCAATTGTTAATATTCTGCTTGTTCTGTACAGCCTTGTCTAGAGTTCTAGTGAGAATGAGTTCTGAATATAAATTGTGCTTCACATAATCCACAATAATAATTAACTGCACATGAAATACATTCTGATGGAGGCTGTATGTAGTGAAAGACAGATTTCAGTAGATAATTTCACTGATAGAAGTTCAGAAAAGTAGGTGAGTTGAAACTGAATACAGCAAATAGAATATGTACACTGTGGGCATCGAGGGTGTCGGAGAAGGTAGAAAGAGCACCTCATAGCACTGGGGATGTGGCTCAGGGGGAAGTGCGTGCCTAGTATGTACCATGCCCTGGGTTCAATCCTCAGCAATGCAAAGAAAAATAAAATAAATACATACATCAAAAAGAAAACATACCTTACAGAATCACAGGTGGTCACTAAGCTATTGGCACAGGAGAGATGTGGCTTTAAGCTGGAATTCTTATGAAATCCTGAACAAATTATCATTTGTGTGTTAAATGTTACTTAAGATTTGGAGCACATGGAGTGCCTAATAATCACAATGAGACATAGAGCTTTAGAAATTTACCTCTAATGATAGCCCAAAAGAGGAAACGATGACCTTAAGAACTAACAGAATGATCAAAGTGATTTTTAAAAACTAGTCAAGTAAAGAAAACAAAACTTTTAGCCCTCTGTGTAAACTATAGTTTTCATATTCAGCTAGAAAAATATCCCAAATTTTCATCAAAGCATGAAATATGGCACATTTCAAGTCACTGCACACCAGTAAGATCTAGAATGTCTCTTAAATCAGGCAGAGAGACTGGTGGAGTTTACAGCAAAGGTTGTGATCCAGGTGGACCCAGCCTTCCCCTGCTGCTACATATGAGTATTCCTGGAACAGATTTTGCCTCTCTGTCTCTCTTGATTTATGTATGATGCATTTTTCATTAAGAAAAAATACATTTTGATTATTCTACTCTTCTGAGATTCAGAGGAAGAGGTACATACTGTCTCTTCTGAATGGTTACTATACTTTTTTTAAGTCTCCAACACAAATACAAGGATGAGAGACAGAGACAGAGGAAACACCCCTATGCCTGAGAACCAGCAGCAGGCAGAGCATGAGTCAGGGTGAGATGGCCAACAGCTGCCAACCTCAGGTCTGCGTCCTCGTAGTGCGGGTGGTTCACAATGGGGTGCAGTGTGGACAGCTTGATGCTCGCCATGATCGGCATGGCACCTGCGAAAACAGCATCTGAAAAACAAGAAATCCAAAAATTAAACTTATCCATAGTGTTGGAATGCAAATTAAGAAAGATGAAGGATATTTAAATAATAACCATAGGGATTTAGGGTGAATGTCAGAGGTAGAGCCCCTGTCTTCTATATCCAAGGTCCTGTATTTGTTAATTGAAGCCATAGATTAGATAGATGATAGATAGATGATAGATAGATAGGTAGATAGATCTCATTGATATTATTCTTTTTATTCACTCAGTAGTTACGCTTGCCTGTTAGTCTAATAGCTAACTTTTGTTACACTGGCACTAGGGACTATGCTCAGTATATTCACAAGGATCAAGCGATTCTACCTGCACACTTCTTTGGGGAGAGCTACACTTCCCTCACTGCATAGGTGAAGAAAAAGACACAGCAAAGCGAAGTGAGTCACCAAGACTGCTCGGATAGGGGCTGGGGATTTAGCTCAGCGGCAAAAGCGCCTGCCTGGCAAGCGCAAGGTCGTGAGTTCGGTTCCCGGTACCGGAGAAAAACCAAGAAAAAAAAAAAAAAAACACTGCACGGATAAAGAACACACAGCTCAGCCTCTGGGCCTCTGGGTGGCAGCCTCCTGTCACGTGTGAGCAACATACAGGAATAGCGAGAAGGGGATATTTCATATCTTGTGAAGTTAAAGCATTTTTAATGCTAGGAAATGAGAGATTGCTATGAAAGGCAAGTCTCATGGCGTATTTCCAAAATGACCCTGTGTGTTATGAAGCCTATGGTCTTGTGGATGTGCCTAAGGAGAACACTGTGGTCTCTCCTCAGATGGTCTGAAAATATTCATCATTATGTTCTCTTAGTTGCTGTCTGAGACTGGATCACCTATACATCTCATGAAGCCAGTTCATTTCTTATTAGTGGTACTTTCTGAGTGGCATGTATGCACTTGGTCATAACTAGGAATATAGCAAAATCTACCACCTGCCTTCACTTTCAGCTTTGTTTATTGGAAGACCGAAAGACCAAATGCTTACTTCCTGGTACTTCTGCATGATAAATGTCCATATAATTAGGAAGATTATGATCATTTTTAATCATCACAATAAAACAAGTAATAAAAACAAGGCATCTTATGCAGGCTTAGCAAAACAATTGAATATTTACTGTCAAAGTAACTACGCATTCTCAGTGTTAACTCTGAAGGAAAACACAAAATACAGTATCTATGAGATGCTGGTAACACAGTCAGATTATTAGGCCTAGCCTAGGAAAGATCACAATTCAGATTTGCAGCACAGTTTGTACTTAATGTGGTCAAGAAATCGAAAGTTAATTCTTGTAAGTCAAGGACCATCTCTACACACACACACACACACACACACATACACACACACACAATGCTCACTATAGAATGATATGTGGGGGGGCAGTGAGGTGAGTATAAAAGTGAGGATACATATAACTAACCAGCTGTGTACTACCTGGTCTGGTATTGTATCTGATCCATTGTAGAAGTTCTTCCTGAGGCAAATTAATAAATTCTCCTCTTATTTGCCATTGATTTTGGAGATTTACACAACCTTGTATTGACATCACTGTTACAATGCCAAAGATAACGTTCTCAAAACGAACTCTGTAAAACAGCCAGCCAAAGAGCTGAAATAGAAAAAAAAAGCCCATTTATTTATAATTTTATACAGAGTGCTATAAGGCTGAAAATGAATTCTCACCTTATTACTCAAGCCAAAGCATATTACCCTTTGCTTTCAGCAAGCAAATACATATGATTTTCATCACCTATTGCTTAAGAACAATACATATGTTCAAATTACAGGGCCCAGATAAAATGGAGCCTTCTCTCCTCTCAAAATAATTGTAGAAGGAATTCATAATCCTTCTAGCACCAATTTAGGGGTTAAGATTAGCACATCACAATTTTGAACCATCCCAGAATCAATCCTTTACTATGTGGCTACCTTTTATGAACATCTTGATTAATTAGGAAAAATCTATTAGCATTGATATGTATTTTTCTTCTCAGGGAAATAAGCATCGTGATATTTTCAGACACACTCATACTCAAAATGTAGGTGCTTCTAGAGGTGACACAATTCTAGCTAATTTATCTAGCGATTTTGCACATTAGATACAGTAAGGGAACCACAGAATTGACGGCTTGTCTTAGGATTCTCTGAGCTAAGCAGGACTATTTCAGAGCAACTCCTCAGCATCTGCTTAGTGATGAACGGGTGCCACAGGGTGGCTCTGGGGGCTGGAGACTGTGTTTGAGGACAGGACACCAACAGAGGGGAACGAGCCGCTTTACTCATCATAGAAACATCGGCTACACTCTAGCAATCATTTTCAAAGCCACCTGACTCACTTTGCTTAGGTTAGCTAACTTACAAACACTCAGTCCTTTTATGTTTTGGACCACCCGGCAAAGCCCCGGCAGCCATACTGTGTTTGCTCAGTTATCATAGTCCAGTTGTACAACAATGGACCCCTTACCCGTCGAGAGCAGATCAAGGAAGCCATTACACACATGTGTGGTGTCAGAAACAGCTTCAGCCTCAAAATCAAAACGGCAAGGGCTGCAAATGCGAACAACTGCAGTGTGTGAAAAACCAGCTGTAAAAATACAAAACACAGTGACACTTTCACTTTATGTGTTTTACAACAAATAAGTATGTATATGAAAACTATTATTGTTCATTAGGCCAAAGATCTGACATATTATTATGCCTATTAACGTTTATTCATTCAACAAAGATCCACTGAATGCCTGTTAAAGGCCAGGCACTGTTGTGCAGCTTCAGATACAACTCTGAGCAACTTCCACCCTTGTGCGGCGGAGACATTAGTGTTTTAGGAGGGGCTGGCAACAAGTGGACACAGCAAATAAATGAACCTGTTCCAGCCCAGTACAGAGAGGTGAGTGCACGGCCAAGAACCTGGGCGGGAGAAAGAGCCCAGGACTGCAGGGCGCGCAGTGGGCCACAGGCGGGAGCTGTACTGTAAGATGATTACACTACATGGACCGCATTGAAAAGGTGCCATCCGAGCAAGGATTTGCACAGTGTGAGAGGTGAGCCTAGGGACAGATATAGGGAAGAGTGCTTGTCACACAAACGGTCACTCAGTCAATACCAGGAGTGACACCAGCACAGGAACACAATCATTTTAAAAGGAATAGGATATACATATACATATATGTACTAATTAGTGGGGTACCCTACTTTGATCTAGGTGACAATTCTACTGGGCAAAGGTTTCAAAGAAAACTTCTCTAACAGACATTATAAAATATCAACTCTCTAGAAAAAGGGACAACAAATAAGTGAAAATAACTAATGCAACAAAAAGTAGATGGCAACTAAGTATTTATGTCCTAAATCACTAATATTCAAATTAAATGTTAAAGATAATGAGATATGCCCATTTATAAGGTTAGGATTAATACTGCATGTTGGAGAGAGAAAATCAACAAGCACTGACAAAATAAATTGGTATATTTTCATATTTCAAAATGTTTATCAGAGCCTAGGAAAGAGCCAACTCCCTTAACCTAAACTGCCATTCTAGGAACTTATCTAAGAGAATAATCAAAACACAGAGCTGCACTACAAAGATGATTACTGAAGTATATATTTAACAGCATAAAAAGGAAACAGCCCAAGTGACTAATAAACAGGAACAAGAAACAAACTGCTATATTTCTACAGGTACATGGCCAATAAAAATCACATATTCAAAGATTATTCAATGGCCTGGAAACGTTTTCAGGACATAAAACTGCATATGTGCAAAATACTAATTCTGTAAAAAAAAAAAAACAAAACCCCAACAACATGAAAACATCTGTACACACACACATACACACACACACATGCACACACGTACAAGGGGGAGGATGTTATAGAGAGAACATACCAAAAGTTAACGGGTTATTTCTTAATGGTAATTGTTCTGTATTTTCCAGATTGGCCTCCAAATTCTTACTACTATTCAAATGTGAGAGCAGACTGGAGAGAAGGCTCAGTACCAATGCATTACCAGTGCTCAGCAACTCAAGCAAGGCGGCGCCCTCGTGAATTATATTGAACTAGAATTTAACGCAGTAGCCTACCACAGAGTGAAATGAGCAGAGCTTTACCTCACCATGTTCAAGGAGCTGTTTTCTGGAATAAAACAAAAATATTATCTATTTACTGAATGCTCATCACAGTATGATTACATGAGATAGCTTCACTTACCCTTAGAGTTTTGAAATTTGATTTTCTATAAATGAGTAGCATAAGTCAAAATAAAGATTAAATAACACTATTAAAAATTTCATTAATTTAAAAGGCATAATTTCCAATCATCTTATTTAAAGTATGTCAAGTTGAGCATGGTGGCACATGCCTATAATCCCAGCACTGGGGAGGCTGAGGCAAGAGGATCACCATGAGTTTGAGGCTAGCCTGGGCTACATAGTGAGTCCAAGGCCAGCCTGAAATACATAGTGAGAGTCTGTCTCAAAGAAAAGTATATCAAAAACTATTTCTTGGCTAAGATAAAATGAGTTTTACTGACTCCTAGAGGTTGCTGTACTTCTGGAAGGATAAATGAAGAGAAAAGCTTTCTATTACATATTCAAGATATGTACAATAAATATAACACTTTAGATAACTACTGCTGTAATTTTGGTTTTTCATAACTATAAAGCCACATGAATATCCTTCAATGTAAGTCTTTGTGAACATCTTTGGATATTTCATTAGGATAAAGTTCAACAAGAAAAATTATTGAGTAAATATATTTATTTATTTTTAGTTCCAAAAAAGTGACCCTGATTTACTAAATACTTATACCATTGTGTAGTGAATACAACAGAAATAAGATAGATATCATTCTTATCCTCATAGATCTTATGTTATATTCACAAAAGAGGCAAGAGGCTATATATTTTATAGTTCCGCTGGGTATTTTATAAAAATTTTTACAGGGTGCAAAGGCCTGGGGGTAGGAGATTGTTATGGTTTGCATCTAGATGTCTCCCTCAAAGCCTCATGCAGTCATAGGGTTTTTTTTTTTTTTCAGGGGTAGCTGAATCTAGAGTGTGTGATTGATTCATGGTGCAATGCTGGGATTAAGGGTGGGTGATTGTTGGATCAGTCCACTGATTGGATTAGCACTGCCCTAATCTTGGTAGACTGGATACAATGTAAGGGAAAGAAAGAGATCTCTCTTTCTCCCTCCCTCTCTTTCTGCCTTTCCCTTTCCCTCTCTGTCTCCCTCACCACCATCATTGCTTTTGCTGTCGTCTACCACCATGAACTGTTGGTTCTCTACTATGCCACCCTGCCTTGAAGCCCGTCAATTATAGGCTGAAAACTCTATAAACTGTGAGCTAAATAAACCTTTTCCCCTTTAACTTTGGGTGTTAGGTATTTTGTCTCAGCAATGAGAAAAGTAAGACACAGAAGAAATTCAATGGCACAAAGGCCTGCAGATTTAATTAAGAGTGGGGAGGGGAAGGTCTCCTAGGACAGCAGTGGCATCTCCACATTACCGTGGCTCTGTAGTAGCTCCTTGCCTACTGATGCAGTCAAGCGAAGGAGGTTTCCACACTGCTTCAGAAACCTTACAGTCATAGCAGAACTCTGCAGTGAGCTGTTACATGCAAGGAAGAAGGCCAGGAGGACAGTAACTATTATAATGCCAAGAATGCCCCCCAATAAATACTGATGGAAATAAATATAACAGCTGATTCCAGATGTGCATAAACAATATGAAAACAGCCAGCAAGTTAAATAGCAGCTTGAAAAGCAAATATTCTGGCCTTTCAGGAAACAGGATTACTGCAAGAAATAAGAGTATTAAATGAAAATTCCAGTTATTATCTTCAGTGAAGTTTGAGAAGATATCACATCCATATAATTAGACAAGCCTGCAAAAATTCTGGGAAAACATACCTAGTTTGAAACCTCAAAATAAGGTTGAAAAATGAAATTGCACACCTGAAATTGTTAAGTTAAAACCCAGTCATGGGGAACCAGTGGGAAAAGTATGAGCCCGTGCTATGCACCTCCTCCATTGTTGCCATGACAGCAGTGCCAGCGGGAAGAGTGATGGAAGTGCCAATGAGAGGAGTGTAAATTCACACTCCTC